TGTGGGCCAAATTTGGCCCGCGGGCCAGAGTTTGACACCTATGCTTTAGACCTTTTAGTGATGAATAAAACAACGCATGCCTTTGCTTGTATGTTTTCAGGACCTGCTCCCAGACATGAAGACGAGTTGGCCTGACTTGTTTGATCCCTTGTCTAATGACTTCTGGTATGTCTGAGCTGCTGGAACTATAGAGCACTTCTACTACCACTTTAGTGTTGCTTTAATTCAGGGATGTGAAATTAATTAAATTAATTTTACATAGTGGCCGATAAACAGTCTGAGGAATAAGATACCAAAATGTTTTTTGGTTTTTGTTTTAATTTACACACAGTTTTTATTAATTCACATAAAATGTTCAATTTTTTTAAATTTACAGTGGACTCGATGTGCAAAACAAAACAAAAACCCCCAGAAATTGTCATGCAACTGTTTATCTATTCTTTTGGCCAAAAAGGAGGTGTTTTTCAGCAGGAAATTTTCTGCGTTTCTTCATATTTATCATAGCTATCCAGGTGGTAGGATTGGAGTCTTTGCCCCCCAGGATTCATGTTTGACACCCCTGCCTTATACGAATGCTGCTACATGGTCTGTTTGAGCAGTCCAGTGAATCTTTAAGATAATATGAACATTTCCAAATAATTTTATTTGTGTGCTTTAGGAAATATGAGTGGAAGAAACATGGTACGTGCGCAGCCAAAGCCATTTCTCTGAACAGCCAACATAAATACTTCAGCAAGGCACTGGATCTGTATCATACACTGGATTTGGACAGGTACAAACCACTCGCATATTTACACGTTTATACATATGCACACCTGATTCCTGCTGTCCAGTCCAGAGAAACGCATACAGTTATTTTATGTATGGAAATGTCTGTTTTTGTTATTTTAGCATCCTGAAGAAGTTTTCCATCACGCCTTCTCCACAATACTATAATGTAAGTTTGATTGTAATTGTACAATCCCAGCTTAAATCTTGTTAGAAGTACCTCACAATGTTAAAGGTCATAACTGCAGCTTCTCTTATTTTGCTCCTGATGTGTCTGTGTAGTTTTCATACATTGAAGGAGTAATAGAAAACTTCTACCACGTCAAACCTAAGATCCAGTGTGGCCATTCAACAAAGGTACATTTCAGGTTCACTGAAATTATTTCAAAATGAGTTTTAACACGTCAGCTGTTACATTGTTAATTGGTATGTTTTTGATTGTTTGTTTTGACAGAATGACAGTTTCCAGGTTTTGGGGCAAATTGAGTTGTGCTTCAACAGTAGTTTCGCCCTGATGGACTGTGAGAAACAAGTTTCCACGGAATCTGATCCTGATAGAGGTTGGGACTATCCCATGAATGTTGACAAGGGATCAGGGTTATCTGTGTGCAACCACGATGTGCCAGTTTACTATCCACCTGTTGAATAATACAAAAAACCCAATATTTTCACAAATTGAAATTGAACAACACACTATGATGATGATTCTTTTTTTTATTCGAATGCATTTAAATTCTAACTGTGACTTGAATAAAAACTGCCTTTGATTGAAATGTTCTTTTTACGTCTTACAAACCAGGACGCACACTCAGCCACACTCCACTGTCACTTTGTGCTTTGCTGGAATTATATTCCCGTCTGACTCTTACAAGTAGAAAAGACTGCCAGTGCGCAGCATGGGTTTCTCTGCAGCACAGCAGGGGCATTATGGTAATTTCAAGTCAGGACGGGCAGGGAGTTTAATATGCTGCACATTTATAAATCTTCGTAGTGTGTATTTTTTTTTTATTATTGGTAGGCATATTTATTTCTGCATTGCTACATGTGCCTATGTACCACCTATTGTGTGTCCTCTCTCCTGTTTTGGCAGGGGTGTTTGCATTTCTTTGTATATAGTAATGCATTTTTGTTTTGTTTTGGTTTTGTTTTCAGAATCATGATAACCAAGTTTATCTGGCAATTCAGTTATACATA